GTATTGGCTGTTTACCCTCATGATCCCATGGCTGCCCAGGAGTTATGGCTTGCTGCCACTGTCCCACATGGAGAGTATCCCTGCATAGAACTAGCCCAGGAAAAGAACAAAATTCAAACTTTAAAAAGGAGTTTTAAAAATGTTTTTGAAGTTATGAATGGAAAACATGTATTTATTTTATTTGTTTATTTTTATGTGGAGCTGAGGATCGAACCCAGTGTTTCACATGTGCTAGGCAAGAGCTCTACCACTGAGCCACAACCCCAGCCCTTGAAGAGCAATTTTTACTGAGTGTGTTTCACTTTCATACCATCATAATGTAAAAAAAAAAACCCCTACAAGTCAAACCATCACAAGGCAGGGCTTGTCTATATATGATTTTCATTTTTAGAAGGTCAGAGTGCCTACGGTGTGAAGGGTGTTATTAGCTCTGGAGTAAGAACCGGGAGACTCACAGGAAACTAGGTGGGAATTGGTGGATATATGGCTTAAACCAGGAGAGACGAATAGAAATGGAAAGGATAAGGAGATGTGTTGAGAGGAGAGTTTACAGGACTAGCTGAAAGCTGAATGTGTGGGGAGGGATTCATTGAAGATAGAAATAAAATATGGATTTCTTTTCCAAAATTTTTTCTTTAGTCTCCTATTTAGATGGTCATGAGTTCTAAACCCTAGTCTCCAGAGTTTGTGGCACTTCACAAAAGAATAAGTATTTTTTTCCCATCATGCCTGGATCATAAAATTGCAGACAGCAAATCTGGATGATGGCCTACCATTTTCCCTTTCATGTATATGTCTCACCTCTGATAGGCTGTACTCCCACATAAGAATTTTTTTTAAACCCTCCTCTTCCTTCTACAATAATTCTATATGTTGTCTATACTTCCAGATAAGCAATGGGTTCATATCTTTGATTATGTTATCACTGTTATCCCCAATAGACTGAGCTCCCAGAGGGCAGAGCAATTTTTATTAATCTTTACATCTTTATTACCCATTAGCTGCTGAATGAGAGAAAGCCACATAAGCGGAAAAGTATTGGGTGATTTCCAGTTGTCTAAACTATGACAACTTCTTAAATACTTCCAATGAACACCTTAACACTTGAAAAAAGGCAGCCTATTCCAATTTCAAATGACTCTAATTATTGAGAACTTCTTATATTAAACTTAAAATCCTTCCCTCAATTCTCCACCTTTGATCTTAGTTGCTTCTGCTCGTTTAGTGGATAAGGATAACAAATTCAAAATGACTTTTATCATTTTGTAAGGATAATTGAGTTCCAAAAACATTATGTAAAATACTGTGCATTGGACGAGAAGTTAGTCTTATGAATCTATTAACTGCCAGAACCCAACATTATATTTAGAGGACTTTAAATACTCAGTTTGCAAGAAAAAGTATTATGAAGCATGTCCAAGAAGGAATAAGGATTAACCTAGCATGACCAAGAAGTGGGGTAAGCAAAGTAAGAAAAAATCACCATCAGCTATCAAGCTTACCAGCATATAGAGGTGATTTAATTAGCTTTTAAACATAAGCATGTATATATATATATTTAGACACACAAATTCACATGTATGTATTTTAAACTCACATTACTTAATAACAATTAAGAATTTGCCATTATAAATAAGCTTTGATTTAGAATTTCACAAATGTACTGTTGACATTTTCCTAGTCAAACATTTCCTGGTAACAAAACCTCTTATTTCTCTACATATAGAAAATACTGATACACAAAAGAGGGCATGTCATAGACTGATTAAAAGGAATATTTTGGGAGTTAGTTTCAGTTGAAAAGTAAACTCCCACAAGTACTATGACTTGAAGACGGTATTACTACTCGGACTTCAAATCTGTTTCTCCATGGAAAATGGAGATAACATTCCTTTCTCATGGGTTATGGTCAAGTTTAAATAAGCACTGATCTTGTAACATACAGTTTCACTAGGTAAGAAATCAGCAAATGAAAATTCCATTATAAAACCATTAGCAAGCTATTTTTGCAGGAGGGATTCTTACCTAGGAACAGTGAGAGTGAGCAAGGATTTCAGGGGTCACATCATCCAAATGTTATGACTTTATAATACAAAGCTTTCACTGACCATTAAAAATAATGAATATTAATCACTCTGCCTTAAGAGGACTTAATTTATCATTCATAAAATTATTCTGGTCAGGGACTTTAATCATTGTCTCATATAGATTGATAATAATATGTTACTTACATTTCTGTCATTTACTCCAAATATGGCTCTCTGCTAAAAAGCTTTATGTAGGATTACTTTATTTAAGCTATACAACAATTGACTAAGGTGGGCATTTTATTAATCACAGCTTACAAGATTAGAATCTGGAGTTTGGGGAAGGCTGTTAGCTAGGTGACAGACAGTGTTAAACACCTCCATTTTACAGATGGGAGAAGTGAGTTTCAAAATCTTTAAATAAGGAAAAGATCACATAATTGATCCTTGGTGACTGAGATTCTAACCCAGGCAGCATGCTGAAGAGCCATTTTCACAAACACCACAAGATGGTCTTCCTGTACAATGGTAAAGAAGGACACAGTCTATACTCTTGGCTGCTTGGATACATCATTTCCCTTTTATAATCTTCATTTTAAAATAGGCAATCTAAAACTCAAAGTGGATAAAGAACTTGTCAAGGTCACACGGTGGATCCACACTTACACTTCTAAGTCATGCTACGTTTTCCTTTTAATACTGAAAAGTTATATTTTCAGTGATATATAAATGTATATACACATATAATACATATATGCACACAATGAAATATTACTTAATAATAAAAGAGAAAGCAATCCTATCATTTGTGACAACATGTAGGAAGCTGGAAGACATTATGTTAAGTGAAATAAGCCAGACTTAGAAAGACCAATAGCACAGGATCTCACTTAAATGTGGAACCTAAAATAAACCTCACAGAAGTAGAGAGCAAATGGTCAGTTACCAAGGGTTGGGTGCTTTAGGGGTCAGGTTTGGAGATTCACAGGTAGAAGAATACAAAATTTCAGTGAGCAGGACTAAATTTAAAGGCTCTACTGTATAACATGGTGACTCAAGTTAATAAGAGAATATTTTTTCAAAAAATGCTAAGAGAATAGATTTTAAAAAGTGTTCTCACCACAAAAATTAAACCTATGTGAGAAACTCATATGCAAATTAGACATATTTAGTCATTCCTATAGTGTGTGTGTGTGTGTATACATGGAAAACATAATGATATATATGGTAAATACATGCAAATTTAACTATGAATAAAAATTAAATTACAAAAGGATTAGAGCTCTATTTTTTATGTTACTAAAGTCAATAGCAACACAGAACTTATCTGAGATGTTAATAAGGATTAAACTTGTTAAATTTTAAAAAAAGCTAAATTTTCAAATGGACACTATTTAATTTGTAAAACCACTGGATATTTTATCAGAATCAAAACATAAACAAAAGTCTGATAAATTGGCAGATACAGATTTGTACTTTCCTGTGAAAATAATTTGTGATTTTTTAAAAATCATGGATTATTTACAGAATATATCTGGGACACAAATGTGCTGTGTGTGACAAACTTAAGACTTGATAATTTTGTCTTATGTTATTGAAATGTGGATTATGTTTTTGATATCTAAATTCTGCTTTGTCAGACAGGGCCCTTGGAATCTGAAAAGTCTCCAGACTCTTCTTATCCAAACACAAAGGCTTTTTTTTGCTGAAGAGAGAACAGCAAGATTGATGGAGGTATCCCAAGAGACTAAATGGAATAATTATAATTTTGTTTTGCTGAGTATATAAAGCTCTAGAGAAAAACAGGTTCTTCACTGAAGGATAATGAATCATTATAATAATTGGTTTTATTTTTTAAAAAATTACACATTGAATAAATTTTTATAAATTTTATAACTACATAGTCTAGACTCTAGACTAATTATAGCAGGTCCTGTTTCCTATTGATAAAATTTCCTTCCTATTTTTAAATTGCCAATGTGGCAAAAGGATACAAAATAAAGTAGACATCATTCCTTTCTTTGTCAGGTCCTTACCAGCCAAGCAGTGAATAACATTGGGGGACAGAGCAGTGACTGACAGATTTCTAACGGACTGAAGCATATCACACAAAATAGGCAATGTGCACTACTTCTATGACTGTGTATCATGATGCCTATATTTAGATATAGCATATATGGTATATTACTACATATAGAATAAAATAAAAAAATAGAATAAATAAATGTGATAACAAAGTATGCATATACTAATTACACAGCTACTTAATTTTGCCAAGAAACTTATGCCTCGTGTTGGAAATTAATATAAAATCTACTTTGGAAAAATGATGCCTTACAGACAACATTTAAGGAACATTTAAAATATTCCAAGATATAGAGTGAACACTGTCTCTTTTAATATTCTCCTATTTACAAGGTAAACTCTTATTTGTACTTGACACCTGAACAAAATGAGACTAAGAGATGTTAAATAAGGTCAAGTAGGTCAAGGTCAACAAGCTGGCAAATGGTACAGTTGGGCATTAAATCCACATCTATGGTGCTTCCAGGTCTGCCTCTTTAACCATTATGGTATACTTTCTTCCAAGTATGACAACAAAAATGTTTTTAATTGCCATAAAACTGACATTATTCTAAAAAAGTTATAGTAGTAATACAGTAGTATAATATTGAAGGGAGAAGAAACCCATGGAGCCTGGGTTCTATTTTCCTTTAACAACAAGGAATTCAAGTTTTGAAGCCCTTAGTTTCTGAGAGATGGAGGTGGAAGGTTGGGAGAGGAGAAAGAATAAGACTAGATCACACTGGAAGTTTTTCTAGACTAAAATTCCATATTTAACTCTAGGCCTCTAGCTTCAGAGTGAAACCTATTCCAAAATGACTATCTCAGACAGTACTTCAGCAGATATCTTGATGCCATGTACTCAGACTATGAAGAACTACAAATATGGACCTACTGAGGCCGTCTTACCTGTAAATGAATGGAGCCACTGTGGCAGTGTTTGGGTGACTGTGTTGCTGCTGCTGAGGGAGATGGACAGCACCATTTCCTGTGCTCTGCCCACTGCTTTGCACCACTGGCACAGTACAGGAATTGGAAGGAGAAGCATGGCCAGCTTCCCTCCCTTCCAGAGGAGCAGGGCAGTTGGATGCACTTGCTTTCTCAGTGGTTATGGGCTTAGGTAAGGACTGGGAAGGGCTTCCCTTGGTAGTCCTGAATTTTTCAGACTCTTTGCTTGCTGCACTGCTAGGTGAAATGGTTTGCTTTGCTGTTGGAACCTTTGAGCCTGGTTTTGGAATCCCACTGGAAGATGGAATTAAGCTTTCCTTCTTGGCTGCTGTCGTCTTGCTGCCCTTTGGGATCAAGCTTGCAATTTTAGAGGTCTTTTTAGGAGCTGTCTCCGTCACCTGATCCTTCTCTTCCTTGACTGGTTTTTCAGTGCAAACTTTATTTTTGTCCCTGTTCTTCTCCTCTTTTTCCTTTGGCTGTAGCAAAGACTTTTTATTGCTGAGATTTTTGCTTCCAGCTTTTGGAGGGGCCAATTTAGGTGACACTTTGGGACTGCTATTCGTTGAGCCACCACTATTCAGGCCACTGTTAAAACCTTCCATTTCACCAGATTCAGAAAAGGCATCATCATCCTTCCCACCATCACTAGGTCCTGAACTCGAAGACTGTGGTGGACGTAGAGCAGTCCGGGCATTAACCAGCTTGAACTTTTCAAGCATGGATTTCTGACCCGAAGGCGCAGTTTTGACCCCTTCTGAGACGGGTGGCTTCAGTCTGTCGGAGGATGGTGTGGGAGAGGTGGCTGGGCTTGGCTGCTTCACGGTCAGCATGGTAGAGGTGGCACTGTGCTTGACATTCATGGACTTGCTGCGCCAGGGCTTGCTGGCACTAGGAGAAGGGATGGCAGAGGCAGGGGGCTGGCCAGCAGTGCTGGGAGGCTGCATGTTACCATTTACACCTGAAGACGGTTGAGGGACTTTGGAGGAATCTGGAGATGGTTAAGAAAGAAAATAAACAAAAGGCTGGTTAGTCTTGATCATTCGTATCATATCATTGTGCCTCAAATATAAGCATCTCACCTCTGAACTCAAAAGAGAAATGTTATGTGGCATTAATCACTTCTATGATGGGATACTTAGAAATCAAGTACCACAAAAATCACAGCATTTGAAATATTGATTTTTTGGTTGGTGATCATGTTTTTCTATTCTGATATTATTATTATCAAATAAATTTATCTGCAGATGCATAAAACAGTGTGTCCCTTCCCTATGCGTCTCTATTTTTTCCAACTACCCCTATAGCTCATTGCCTTAAAAAAGTTTACTGTATAATGAATATTCAGAAACCGTTCTAAGCTACAGGGAGATCAGCTATTTTTATCAGATTAAATATGCTTATGAATCATAACCTAGCTTTTTGCTAATCTATTTTTATTTGAACAAAGTAATTATTAATGTCTATGCCTCTATAGGTCAGGTAATCTACAAATTAATCCATCTCTATTTCTATCTTTATAGCCATCCTACAAGGTATGTATTAATATTATTATCCTCATTTAACAGAATAACTGAGGCAAAGAGATAATAAATAACTTGTTCATGCTCACACAGCTTTGATTTGAACTCATTTCAGAGACTGTGCTCTTAACAAGCAATACATACAGCCCTCTTGAGTGATCGCAACTTGACATTATAAGAGAATGCAAAGCCATTCTGAGGAGCTACAAGGAAAACAAGACCCTTTGTCACAAGAGTTCTGCACAGTGAGTCAGTGTTTGCTTAGTTCTGCTCAGAAATCACATTAGAAAGTGAATTTTATATGAATGTTATAAGTCTGATTAATGCCTGATTAGTCATTTTTAAGAATAAAATATTAAAGATGGAATTTATCACAGAGTATAGAATAAAGAGGAACTGATTTTTAAATTAAAAGATCTCAATTCAAATGGTAATATTTCTGAACTATATAACTATTATCATTTAACTTCAAGTGCATCAACCAGGACCACGTCTTTTTCAACCCTTTTTTTGTGGGGGGAGGTAAGGGATGATTAAATTATATTTAATTGGTGCTGTTAACTTACTACATATTGACAAGTGTATACAAAGCTCTTTTTTGGTGAAACAGCCAAGAATTGGATCTCATTAAATATTAATATTAATCCATACTCCTAAGTGTAAAGTTGTTTTTGTTTTAAAATGTTTATTTCAAAGAAGTGAAAATACATGAAAAACAACATGTCATCCAGCCAAGAGGAAAAGCATTCTAGTGTTACTTATTTTTCAAAAAGAGGTAACTGATATTCAACAAGAGACAATAACAAAAAAATTAAAGAAAGGAAAAGGGGCCAAATTTTGAGTTAAATTTTTGTTTGAGTTTTATTTTCTTTAAATAAGTGGGTCAAAAAAAGAGAAGTAGATACTTGAAATTAGTATTAAGAATAGTGTAGACAAACATGTTTATATTAAATTTTCTTAAGTGATTTTGTATAGCAATATTGCCTTGTAATTCTTACTTACTGCTTCTCTGTAAGTCCTCATTTCAACTGGCATGAATAAATAGTCACACTAATATTGCAAGATTAAATCTATATATTTTTATTTTGTAAATAAATTTTACTTATTTTTACTGCTGTATTAGAATTGAATTTGTTGTTGTCTATTTCATACCCAATATACTTTAGATTAAAATGTAGTTGTTTACACTGGGAAGTCAATAAACAAATGCTTGCATTTTGTCTGCTTGAATTCTTAATGTTTACCTATTTAAATCTTAAAACACATGATAATAAATTGATATTTTATAGTGTTCATGAAAAGTCTACAATTCTGTCCATGTTTAGCATATTTGTGGAAATCATTAGGTTCATGCCTACAGGTGTACTGATTCAATAACAAACAAATATCACAAATTTCAAAACTTCAATTACTCGAATCCATTCACTTTTTGTAAATGGATTTCAATCTTTTCCTTATTATCTGTGTTACAAATATGGTTAATTCTGAGTTTATATCACCAACAGAACCCTCTTAGAGACTGATAACATTTCATTATAATTTGAATAATTATTGGTCACAGATGGAGCACATGAACTATTTACATATAGGAATGCCTACCAAATATTTTTCCATATTAATTTCTCCCTATTGGTTGGGTCTCATATTTGACTTAACTTTCTCTGGGGAAAAAAAAAAGTCCTCCCACTCCTACTTCTCATCAGCAGAGCATCAAGCCTAGACAGGTTGTTCCTTTATGTTCTTCCATAGGTTATTATTTCTTGTTAGAGCCATTATCACTCTACTATAATTTCTTGTTACTTCTATTAAACTCTATTACCTGAAAGTAAAGACCACATCTGTATTCATAGTTTTATACTATGCCCTATCACCTACTATATGCCAAGCATGGAACTTAGTATTTAATATGCATTAACTCAATCAATTTTCCCCATAAGAGGATGAAGTTTTAATTATTCTTCACATTTTATAAAGAAAAAAACAGAGACAAACAAGTTAAATAGCATAGCCCAAGTTACACAATTTGTAAGCGACAATACAGAACTAAACTCTGGATTCTAAATTAATTTATCAAGCACTGTATTATACTATTTATCAAATCTAGAAGGATAAGTTCGATAGCTTATCAATTATAATATCATCCCTTGAATATGGAAACATAAAAATAGTAACTGTTAGGCTAATGGCTTTAATAGGATTATATCAAGTGAACCATGTTTCTCAGTGACCCAGATTCAGTTGAAAACTAGATTTTTTGCCTCCAAACAAAATTCACTTTTCTAGTTCAGTGTATTATATAAATGCCTTTGTATTTCACACAGTGATCACATTGTTTTGCCGATTAATTTCAATATATATGGCTATACTTTTCTATTTTTTTGCAGGAATATTAAAATCAATGCTATCAAATTCTTACTAACTAATCTAAATATATGATCTTTTAGTGTTTACCAACTAAGACTCTGTTCAAGACACTACAAGACACACTATAATCTTTTTGGAGGAAATAAAACAGTTATAAAAGATAAATGCCATTGCATGGTGACAAACATTAAGTGTCAAATGAGTGGGAGATGAGAAAGAAAGTGATAGGGAATATCCAAGTTGCAAGAGACCAACAGGACTGTATAGGAAGATCAAGGCAGAAAATGTAAGGAGATGTATTGGTTATTAAAGACAATAGTTAGGAAACTACAGGAATCTTCTTCTATTCATTTGCATTTAGAAATGTGTACATCATATACAGGAATGCCAAAGTGAAAAGCAACATGATCAAAGACCAAATCAAAGCCCACTCTGCTGGTCTCTTTACAAACTATTTACAAAGGACCATAATGATACCATATTGAATTTGTCTTCATTTTCTTTTCTCTTTTTTGGGGGGGGAGTGGAGGGTAAGGGTAGCAGGGATTGAACTCAGGGGCACTCAACCCCTGAGCCACATCTCTAGCCCTGTTTTGTATTTTGTTTAGAGCAGGGTCTCACTAAGTTGCTTAGCATCCTGCTTTTGCTGAAGCTGGCGTTGAACTTGTGATCCTCCTGCCTAAACCTCCTGAGCAACTGGGATTATAGGCATGCACCACTGCACCTGCCTGTCTTCAATTTCTTATACTGATCTAAAACTATTTGTGATAGTTGTTATTCTATACGAACTATCCAGTATTGTCTAGCACAGTGGTTCTCAAACTTTAATGGGCATAGGAGTTATCTGAGGACCTAATTTGAGTGCATACTGTGATTCAGCAGATTTGCAGTGGCATCTCAGATTTTGTTTTTCAACAGGATTCCAGAAATATTCATGCTATGGTGCACTTTTGAGTTTTGAGTAGGCAGGATTGAACAGAATCATGGATTATGAAAACTGTTTCTTACCATAGTATCCAAGTTGGCTAAATTCATTTAATGTCCCATAACTGTGCAGTATTAATAGTTTCACTCTTTGAAATTCAGAACCTTGGCTAACCCTGAGTTCACCTGGATTTTTAACAGTTTGTGAACAAAAAGTCACTAAAAACAAAAGAAGCTCATCAGGTTTTCCCAACATGCTTTTTCTCACCACTTTAACCACAAATTTAGTGTGAATATACTGTGTCTGCAACTAAGAAGTCAGAAGACTTATCCATAAATGCCTGGGAGCTTTGTTGGGGAAGAGAAAAAGAGACAGAAAAATATCCAATCAGAATGGTTTTTAAATGGCTGATGAACAAGGGAAGTGGGAGATGGTACATCTTCCTTAGAAGAGAGAAAACAAGGTGATAACATTAACTAGACAAACTGCTGCAGAAGATCAAATTCAGAAAAGGAATTTCAACATCACTACACCCCAAAATGAAACAAGAGGGACTCCAAATGATCACATCCACGTCCAACCCACCATAATGGTTATAGCAACAGCCGTAAAATTGTTCTCAGATGAGTACACACATATACGACTCTTCTCTGCACTCAGCTCTAAATCTGTCCCCAGCTTGTCTCTGCAGGGCAGCAATGAGGTATTTCAGGTTTCATTAAAAGGGCAAATCACAGGCCATTGTACATTAAGAAGGCAATGGAATGATAAGAGTCTCTCTGGACTCCTCACAATAAAGGGTACACAACAGCAGCAGAAATGGATGCCTCTGTGGAGTAGGTGCAGTACAAAATCTGGTCTGCGCTGTTTATATGGTCAATAAGAAGCACCCTGGGTTCAATGATATATTTCTGAAGGTTGATAGCTCAGCTCCTGACTATGAATGAGTCTCAACATGGGGAAAAAGAATGGATACCTGATGCACAAATTTGAATGCATTCTTATAAATGGATTTGTATCTTGTATTTACATGGCCTATCTACTTACAGCTCTGCGTCTGGCTCTGGTCTCCACTTAGCAATTTTCTTCCACTTCATCTCTTCTTCATCTTCTTCCACCTCCACACCCACCATCACCAACTTGACCATAACCAAACAATAGTACTTACCAACTGATTGC